GACCATTCATTCGCTGTGGGACCCATTCCATGAAGTTTAATAACTATAGATCGGCACTGAAGCCCATGAAGAGACGGCAGTGCCTCAAAAACGATTCGTTTCCGCTCTTTCTAGTTTCGAGCTGGTTTGGTGGCAGTATCCCCGACGCTAGGCTCTTGTGCCCAAGCCATTCTTGAGCGTAAAGAACTACATTGACAAGCGAGATCCTTGAAAGTCCACCCTAAGCCCTAAACTTAGTGCGATCCCTACATTGACATACTTTCTGGTCTAGTTTAGGGCTTAGAAACCTATGCCCTTCCTTAGTACATGCCAAAATCTCCGAGCCGCGGTGTGCCTACCCCGATGCACCTGAAACCCGGTTGTGGCTGCAGGTTCTCGTCAACACCGGTCAAGAGTTTTGTTGGCAGACTCTTAAGGACCGTGTCTGACTCCAGACCCTGTCCTTGCGTTTCTTTCTAGCTACTTTGGCTTTGAGATCGCAGGGTGTAAGATTTGCCCGAGTGATCGCCGACACGTGTTGCGGCTTTCCCGGTGCCACGTGCATTGGTGCTCTCGGTACGAAGATCTTATGCGCAAGCTAGCAAGGGTCACACTGTATCCACCAGACCGCTACTGCCTGAAGTTTGAAGGTTTTTCTCCTGTTCCCCATGTACCCAGGGCTTCATATCCTAAAGCCTTTGAAGCAACAAACCACCCCAGCAAGAGCAAAGTCATCAAAGCAGAAAGATAAAAAAGCGCCGACGCCACCGAAAAGCCGAACCCGGTTTAGAGCCCTTCGTGGAGGATCCCTGGCCAACCTTGCAGAAGCAGACGGGCAACTTGAAGGGAACCTTTCGGCCGGGAGCTGAGCCTGTAAAAGGTAGAGACTCGCGGGGAAGGGGATGTAAATGTATGGCCTTACTAACTGTAATGGGTGTTTGGGGTGTACTAGGAGTAGATGTACACGAATATATGAAAGAACGCTGAGGAACCCTATTCTAACCGTTCAGGCCACTATAGTACAACGGGTTCCGGATTTCGGCACACCGTCGTTGAACGTGAAGCCCACGGCTCTGAAATCACCCCAAAAGAAAAGTTAAAGTCTGAACCCCACTATAGTTCTGTTTAGTTTGTTGTGGCTTTCTGGTGCTTTGTTCTTGAAATCCAGGATGCAACGTCTGTTATGCCATACGGAGTTTTTACTCTGGTGCGGAGAGAAGTCTGCGAAGTCGGTGACAAAAGGATAGTGCTTTTTGCTTTTTCGCGGTTGTGTTAGCGTTCCTGACGTCCGTTCCCCTTGGTAAGCTGGTTGCAGGAATCCTGGGTATGCTTCCTGTGGCTTAGGGCTTACGGTCTATAGTTCGCAGACTTGTATTTCGAAAGGCCAATGTTCCACGGATATGATGATGGATGTTGCGAGTCGTCGCAGAAGAGTATAAGTAGCTTCATTCCCCCAAGCTCTAAAGCCGTCGTGCGGTGCGGTGGCTATCCCGAGGCCATATCCATACATGACGCAAGCAGCAGAGCGTGCTATCAGGTGCCTGTGACTTGACGAAGCCCCCCACAGATCGACTTTCTAACCCTTTGGGTCCGAACCCCTGGGGCCCCCAGTCCCTTCAAGTCAGAGGCGCTTGAGTGTTTGAGTAGTGTAGGAGTGATGCGGTCAGTTGCTTTCACTGCCCAGCATCCTTGGGTTCGACAAAGCTGGATGTGAACACATGTCAGCATCTGCACGCCACTGGAGGGAGAGGGATCCAGAATCTCAAGAGACAAGAAGCTGCCTGAAAGCTGCCGGACACTTTTCCTACCTGACCCCAAGAAAGTGGCCGGAATCTTCGTCGTAAACCTAAACCCTACTGAAAACCCTAAACTCTAAACCCGACACCCTAAACTCTAGACCCTAAACTCTAAACCCGACACCCTAAACTCTAGACCCTAGACCCTAAACTCTAAACCCGAAATCCTAAACTCCAAACCCTAAGCCATGAACCCGAAACCCAAAACTCGATTTCGGCCCCCGTCTGCTCTCGAATCCGCTGCCTCCAGAATTCGATGCTCGAGAGCCGGAGGTTGGTCTCCTTTGCTCAGGTTCGACAAAAGAAGAACGCCTCGGGGATCCTCTTGAAAGGTTTAGAGCCTAGGGCCCCTAGGGGGCAGGGTTTCGGGTTTAAGGTTTAGGGTTCGGGAGTTAGGGTTTAGGGTGTAGGGTTTATAGGGTGTGGGGTTTAGGGCGTAAGGTTTTTGTGTCTTGCATTTGGGGTTTAGGGTTTAGGCTCCTCCCGGCAGGCCGAAGAATCAAAGGGCTGCCCGGGATCTTTCAGACAGTCAGAGCATTGGAAAACCCATGGCTCAATCGGATCGCTGTGTGCTCTTTGTGGCCGCTGCTGCTTAGATGAAGAAGGTCCATGGTAAGCTCAGGGTTAGCGTCGAGAGCGATGGTCATGGCTAGCAAGTCTTGTCTGATGTACCTTATTCTGCAAACCAAGTCGTATACTCAGAACCCGGGAGTCTTCCAGGTTTTGCAACTCAGAAAGAACATCCCGAAACTCCACACAGACCCGTAGCCTTCACCCAGCAGCCATAGGACTCAACAGAAGAGCTGCCAACCCTCAGTTAAGCCCCGGACCCCGCCCCCCAACCCCTAAACCCCTTCCTAAATCCTGCGCCCTCGTTTCTGTTCGCCATGGTGGGGGCTTCTTTTATCGCTCTGGGCTACACGACCTGCCGGATCAAGGCAGCATCTCTGGAGTTTCGACTGTTTCTGGGGAGCTGGAGGTTGTTGGTGTTTGACCTCCTGAATCTCGGGCTTAGGGCTGCAACGTTCCAGGCATGGAGGCTGAGAGGTTGTGAGTTTGGGACTACTGACGCCCTAAACCCTACACAAAGCCGAAATAGACCCTAAATCCCTAAATCCCTAAATCCCTAAACCCTAAACCCTAAACCCTAAACCCTAAAGCCCTAAGCCTTAAACCCTGAGCAAAGCAGGAGGTTTCGGGATGCTTGACAGGTCGGGTGTGGAAGTCAAAGCACAGGTCTGGACCGTGATTAAATCACGTTCCCCCCAGTTTAATAAAACAAAACACTTTGGAGCCAATTCTCCCGAAATTATCCCTACCCTTCAAAACCTATTCTGAATTCGGGCGGAAGGTTTCGAAGAGGCTTTCGATCCTCCTTCCAGATGCAGTAGTCGCGATTTCCTGCAGATGCAACGGCAGAGAGGGAGGGACAGAAGTTGCACTTGCAAACCCTAGGGTTTAGGGTTTAGGGTTTAGGGTTTAGGGCTACACTCTAAAGCCCTAAACCCAACAAGCAAATCCCCAATACCCAGAAGTTTATGCCCGGAACGCCCGGGAAAGCACTGCACGACCAGGTCGATGTCCCGGGAGGTCCGCCGTTTGCCACATGGGTTCTGCGGGGATTTAGGGGGTTGCGAGTTTAGGAGTTACGGGGTTCAGAGGCTCAAGGCTGGGTGTTCAGGATTTGGGGCTACGGAGTCATGGGTGATGCGTTGTCAGGGTAGCACCAGGTTTAGAGGCAAAAAGCACCCGAAGTTGCAGCAGCTGCGGAAAAGCGGAGGCTTCGACCATGACTTGGCGAGAGCTCCGTGATCTACGATTTCGAAGGCTTAAGCGAAAGCTTCGATAGATGCGTCCTGGATTCACGGAAATTTTTCCCTAAGCGCTCAACCCCAAACTCTCGTAGCATCCGATCTTGCAGACTCAAAAGGTGCCAAGACCACCGAAGCCGTCGCGGCCGGCGAGCACCTGCAGGGAACCTAGAACTTTTTTGTTGGTGTGCTTAGGGAGTCGTTAGGGATGAGGTGCTTTTGCGGGTTCAGGGCTTGAGGCTTTGGGTATGTTGGGGGACTTGGATGGCTCGAGTGCTTTGGCTTGCAGAGTCTGAGTAGAAGTAGTGTCGTGGGGGGGGGGGGGGGGNNGTGTTGGACACTTCCGGCCTATTTGACATGATTGCGTTGCTTACACAAGTAAGCCAGAGACAGACAAACCGCGTCAAATGGTCGCTGAAAGTCGCCCCCGCTGTTTCCGTACATTAGTATCATTCATGCTACTAGTACTACTATAGTAGTACTATATAGTACTTTTTAGTACTATATATAGTACTACTAGTAGTCGTGGTACTAATACTACTAGTAATACTAGCACTACCAGTACTGTTCGGACCGACTTTCCAGCAATGTCTCCGCTGAGTCCGCTGGGTCCGCTGGGCGTCGGTCCGGCCGACTTTCCAAAATTTCGTCTGCTGAGTCCGCTGGGTCCGCTGGGGCTGCTGGGCGGCGGTCCGGTCCGACTCCAGTCCAGGGATTCGTCTGCTGAGTCCGCTGGGTCCGCTGGGGCTGCTGGGCGGCGGTCCGGTCGAC